AGAGCTCCGGAGTAATTCTGTTGCACCATGAAATATTTTGCCTATAGAAAGTGGGAAGGGGGGATGAGGAGAGAAAAAATATGTATCATTTGAAATAGGTACTTGAGTGGATGTATGCCACCGCAGTCAACACAAGATATATACCACTTTCTGTGGCCAGTTCATAATGGAGTCACATCACATTCACCTATCCTGGATTTTGCCAGCAAAATCAATCCAATATAGTTTTGTAGTCAGAAGGCAGCTACCCGGTGAGAGATGCCTATGGCAGGAGTTTCATTTTTAAAAAAACAAGTAAGGCGTACACATGCTGTCACCAATGTGGCAAATATGAAGTAGAGTTTCAGTCAATCACATTTTATTTTTAAAGAATAATAAATAAATAAATAAATAAATAAATAAATAAATAATTTATATCCCCCCCCCCAGCCAAAGCCGGGCTCAGAGCGGCTAACAACAGTAAAATAATACTGTTTTTAAGAGGTTTTAAAAATGTTTTTGTTTTATCACTTATTTGCCATCCTGGGCTCCTCTAGGAAAGGTCTTAATAAAAATAATGGCAGCCCATTTTTTTCATCATGGCCTTATCAAATGATATTTTTAGAACTAGATGAGTTATTTTGTTGGTATGTTGGCTTGTATGTTTCTTGGTTAAAATCTGATATGTTTCAACTGCTTTAACTGTGAGAGTTTATGAGTTTATATTTGTACATGGTTCTAAACCATTTTAAGAGGCAACTTTGCTTGAAGAGTGATCTAAAAGTCTTTTAAATAAACAAGCAAATATATAATCAAATGACATTTGGTCATCTCTGTTCTACTCAGACCAAACCTCCTAAATTTGACTTTGTAGGATATATCCAGGCGATCTGACATAGAGTTATGAGCACTGATTTCAATGGGTGTCAGTGCACCTAGCTCTGCCTAGGATCAAGTTAAAGGATTTTGGAGTTGGATTTGCAGTACCCCAAGGTTTCAGCCTCCAGGGATATAGTTCTAACCACTTGGTTATCCTGTCTAAAATGAGAGAGAATGATAGCAAAGCTAAAAGTAAATTATCTACCTTTCCCATCATCCCAAATATTTCTGTATTGTCTTGAATCCCTTCATCCAAATATTTTATAGCCTTCTTAGCAGCATGAGCTTTGTCACTGGTAACATATATCCATCCTTTCAAAACTAGTCCCTGCAGAGGTGGAAAAAACAAACACCTCCTCAGCAAAGTAATGAAACTTTTCAATTACAGCATTAGTATGCCAACAGAATGTCAATTTAATAGTTCCCATACAATTACTTTTTTCAGATACAAAAGTTAAACGCAATTAGAAACCAAATATATAAGAAACCTTAGGACACTAGATATTTCTTGATAAAATATAACTAAGAACAAATACCATCCTTCTGCCAAGACAATTCACATTCTGCTGTTTCACCACCAACCTGAGCAGGAAGAGTGTGATACACGTTTGGAACACACTGATAATTAAGGTGTTAAGGTTGTATTTAAAAGTTCTCCCTTCCCAGAGCTAAGATTTGAGAAGCTCGTGGAGCCAGAGACCACAAGACTCATTGGGGACTTGAATGATTACAGGAAGCAATCTATGAAGAACATAGTACTGTGAAGACCTCTACTGAAACAGAAGCAAAGCTTTCATTCCCCCACATTACCAACCCTGTACTTGCTTTCCCTTCCAGCATCCCTCAGATCCAAAGGATACTTTCTAGAATTCTCCTGCATCCTGCTGTCATAGAATTATAGAAATTGTATGTTGGAAGGGACCCTGAGGGTCATCTAGTTCAATCCCTGCAATGCAAGAATCTCACTTAAACAATCCAACAAGATGGCCATCCTACTCTGCTTAAAAACCACCAATTAAGGAATGTCTGTTCGATCGAATAATGGTTACCTCTGAATAATGGTCTGCACTATGAGCCATACAAGGATCTCAGAGAACAGAGCCTGACAACCTACTGAGTAGTTAGTTGGCTGTATACATCATATCAGAATAGTCACATCACTTTTAAAGTATTGAAATGTTTTTTATTTCTTTTACATTGCAGTCCTATGAATAGTAAACGTAAAGGTACCCCTGCCCGTACGGGCCAGTCTTGACAGACTCTAGGGTTGTGCGCCCATCTCACTCAAGAGGCCGGGGGCCAGCGCCTGTCCGGAGACACTTCCGGGTCACGTGGCCAGCGTGACATCGCTGCTCTGGCGAGCCAGAGCCGCACACGGAAACGCCGTTTACCTTCCCGCTAGTAAGCGGTCCCTATTTATCTACTTGCACCCGAAGGTGCTTTCGAACTGCTAGGTTGGCAGGCGCTGGGACCCGAGAACAAACGGGAGCGCACCCGCGCCGCGGGGATTCGAACCGCCGACCATGCGATCGGCTAAGTCCTAGGCGCTGAGGTTTTACCCACACGCCACCCGCGTCCCCAGTCCTATGAATTCTATCCATAATTCAGTTCCATAGTTTCAGTGGGGCTTACTTCCAGATAAGTGTGTACAGCACACTTTTTTGGGTTGTTGGGAGCTGCATGGATGTGCCAGAGCCAGTGGTGGAACAAGCATTCAAAACCTCACATATAAATGTGGTGGGGAGGAAGGAGCATAGGAAATGATTCTCCTCATGCTGCTCCTCATCACAACTGCACCCCCTAATGCAGAGCTGTTTGGCTGGCTGAGAGTTATGCAATTTATATGAGGAATACACACAGGAATAACTGTGGCAGACTAGGGGGGGATTTGGCAGAAGACAAGAGCTTGGGAATTTGGACTGGACTGGACTGGACTGAAGGCCTATGAGGGCCACAGGCAGGTTGTGGATTATCCACATGTGGTATAGAGGATTGCAAACTATAAACATTTGGTGATAAATTACTCTTATTTAACTTGTATAGGCAACAAAATCTCACTACAGTACACAGAAGCAAATGCACAACTATATACAAAGTGCCCCGTTGGATCAGGTCAAGGGCTCCTCTGAGTAGCATTCTGGGCTAGTCAAAAACTCTGGGAAGTCCATAAGCAACTGCATTCACTACCTGTATGTTCCCAGTCTTTATGAACTTTAATGTTTCATTTAGCTTTTACAGCCGGGTGATTAACCATTGATAAATGGTAAACTCATGAATAACCCCTTTCAAAGCTAAGTAGAATAAGGGGTGCTTTCATTTAACAAACAAAACCAATTTTAATTTAATTTGCTTTGTACCAAAAGTGGAGAAATCCACTTTGTGAGATTTGGCTTCATCACTTTCAGTTCTATCATGAGCTGTCTAGTGAAACTAGGGTGATGATAGTTAAGATTTTTTAAGAATGAAGGACCTGGTATTAAAACATGGAAGTACAAGTTGTTATCCTCCTCTGCACACTTACCAGGGAGTGTGCACTTAACTCACTGGGAATTACTGCTGTGTATACGTTTATAAGATAATCAGTTTATCGACTGATTCACGTTGATGTGAAAGAACAGGTCTGATTTCATAATAAGCAATGAGAAACACAGTGAAGATTAGGTAGTACACTGGGCTCCAGTTCAGAAGGCTGATCAACATATATTTCAGCTGACTTCCTCAACTGAACAGATGGTTGGCACTGTCAGCTTTGCCAGCACTGAACATCTGTCACAGTGGGAAGGGTGAAGGAGATGTCCTAGAGTCACTCTCTGGCCTTCCTGAAACAGAAGTGCTGACAGTTTGGTGCTGTCAGAACTGAACAATGTTACCATCTGTTTGGTAGTCGGTACACATTCCAGGGTGACTATGCATACAACCTTGAGTGCTGGATGCAGATATCTCCCTGCTCCCAGCTCCTTTTTGTGTGCTTGAGTCCTTCTGATCCAGAAGGGCAATGCATGAGGAAGGCTGTCTTTGGAACATGGATGACACTTGCAAGAAGGTTATAACTATGCTTTTCTGGCTTACATTTCTATGAAGTATTGAATAGGCCTGGCACATTTCAATGTTCAGTGAACAGCCTAATCTACTCCACTTTACCTCTCTTGCTCCATTAGACACTTTCAGCATTCTGTCAACATACTCCTTTGCTTTATCATTTTTATTTAGGAGCCACAGAAACATTCCCAGCATAATACAACGCATTACTTCCGGCGGTCTTCCGCGCTTCCTTTAATTTGGTTTCCAAGTCCAAAAGGGCAGAAGTATCTGAAAGTAAACAGGATGGGTGGTGGTATATGCTACCCTTGTTATCCACTTGTCTGGTTTTCACGTATCACACAAGATAGGCCAACTAAGATCCTAGGGCTGATTCAAGGAAAACAATTTGGGGAGGAAAGTTACATCATGGTGCCCAAGGTATGAAGGTCTTTTTTCATGTTATGTTCTAAATATGAAAACTGTTTAAGTCAAATTGGCATTTGAAAACTGATGGAACTTCTAAAACTCTAGGTCTTTGTTGTTATTCCCAAAGTGTGTTAATTTTAAGTGTAACTAGCAAACTGTTGCACATGAAGTTTTCCCAGTTCTTCCTCCTGGGACAACTATGTGTCTTCCTGCCAACCTTCCATACTCCAGATGGCAGGATCATACCCTCTTTTACTTTATTTTTTACAATTACCCACCCTCCAAATTTTTGTTTGATTTTAATAGCTGTTATTGGAAACACCATATCTTCTCATTTCTGACAACTGTGATGAATGGCACATAATGTATTTAATTAGGACAGAACTTACCAACATTTTCTCACATCTTTTGTGTGCGATAAATAAGAACCCAGGAGACCAAACATAAAGGAAACATCTACATAGGCGGCTTCCGGGCATTCTCTACTAAGTACAAATGCCCTTCTTGAATTCGGCCCTGCAAGGATGTAATACAATTGGCTCATGGGAGTGCCAGATTTTTATGGTGGGTTATCAGAATGGTAAAACAATACCAGAGATATAGTGCAAGCATGGTGCGCTTTCTTGTTTTCACTTCCACACCACAGTCCTGGGGTGAGTTCCTAATGTGAAACTTAGTGTTTCCTAGCTCCGATATGCTCAGGTTTCATCTTTTTTAAAATCTTTCCAGTTTTCAAGTTACCTCAGTATGCAGAATGCAGTATGCATTAAAAAAACAAAAACTCACTTAGCTCAATTAGGCTTTTACATTGCATTTTGTTTCTAGAAAGATATACTTTCAAAGTTTATTGATTTAAAGTATTTACCAAGAAGCAATGTTCCAAAACCCTTGAAAAACAACAGCACTGGATCATTAGCATGTTTTGCCAGTTCAATGTTTGTCACTTGAACAACATAGTTGAAGTATTTTTCTTGAGCATAGTATAGAATTTTAGCCTTGAGGGGGAGAGAAAGAGAAAATCATTGCTTGCTTGTTTATTATGCATTTCATAAAAATTATATACCAGTTTTGTAAAATTCCTCAAAGCAGTTTAGAAAAAGAATAAAACAATATTATTAGTAAACAATTAAAGCTTTCAAAAAATTAAAACCAGCAATAAACTTAAAAAACACACCAGCATTCTAGATAGCTGGCAGGCTGGCCCAAACAAATATGTTTAGTATGTGCTGAAGAGTACAGTGACGGCACCTGCCCACTATCAATAGGCAGGGAGTTCCAACGTGTAGGTACAGCCACACTAAAATAATGATTTATTACAGATGTGGAATGGGTATTATGTGGCACCTGTAACAGTGCTAGTTCCCCCAGACTGTAGTGGTTGAGAAGCGCAAATATAAGGTGATCTCACAGGTTTCAAGTTATTAAGTATATTAATAGTCCTGACCCTGTAGAAAATTGACAACCAGTGCAGATCTCCGAGCACAAATGTTATATACTTGGCAAGTTTTTCACTCCTTTCAGCAATAGCAGTGCAACATCTGCACTAACTGCAAGCTTCTGGTTAATTTTTATTATTAATTTGAACACACAGCCCTATAACCCGGGGTTCTCATGGCTGGTTTCCTGCTTGAATCCAGGTTGTGGCTATGGGAGGAGCAAGACCTTTCTGTCGTAGGCTCAGGATGTATATGTGTGCCAATGAAACGGCTGTATCGATAAAGACACCGCAATCTCCGCTGCCCCACAGGCCAAGGAACCCAGACCCTGGGTAATCGCCTTGGACCGCTGGAATCTCGCCCCGCTCAGGTGGGGAGGCTCAGCACAATGGAATACAGGGCCGCGCATGGTGTACGCAGTGCCCCCTCTCCGCTTTCTCTTCACAACAACCCTGTGAGGTAGGCAAGGCACAGCAAAGGAGGGGTCGGGGCGGGCGAAAGGCGGCGTGAAAGCCACTTGGTGAGCCGCCTACAGGAAAGGCAGGAGTTTAAACCTCCCACGAATTAATAACGGGGGGCCAGCCACCAGCCGCAGCCAAGCCCTGAGGCGGGTTCCTCCCTTTGGGATGGGAAAGGGAGTACCAGGGCCTGAGGGTCTTCGTCAGCCATGGCCGCCGACAGCAACCGCTGGGCAACGTTCGAAACGCCAACCGCCACAACGGCACGCGCCGCCTTCCCTTCTCAAGACGAACACCTAGAGCAGCCAACCGCCGCCCGGCGTGCGTGGTTACCTGCGGCCACGCCCCTTCCGCTCCCCGTTGCTAAGCCTCTCCGATCCTCCTCGTCATCTTTCTCGAGGCGCGAAGACCCCGCCTCCCTGTGGTGACTACTGGTAGCCTGTCCGCGCGGGCCGTCACGTGGAGGGCGACGGCCTCAGCCTATAGAGCGCGAGCGCGTCGGCTTGCTCTGTGGTCAGCTGCGTCCCTCCGCCAACCTCCTGCGCATGCTCAGTCGGCGCTGCAGCGTTGGAACTTGGCAGCGGCGGCTGAGGGAGGATGAGGATGGCGTCGCCGGGGTCTCCTCCGAGTTCCTGAGGTGGCCCTCATGGGGCTGGGCTCCAGCTCCGAAGTCCCCGACGGGGGCTCCGAGGGATATCACGTGCACGGGGGTAAGGGCGAGCTCCCCGGACGCGGTCGCTGAAGCAGGAAGGAAAGCGCAGCCCGGCTTATGTTCGTGACGGGGCGCCCGGCTTCCTCCTCCCAGTTGTTGTCTTCAGTATTACTGCCTTATCCAGGGAGCTCGCAGGAGAGCCAGTGGTTAAGAGCGGTAGACTAGTACAGTGGGACCTCGGGTTACATAGGCTTCAGGTTACAGACTCCGCTAACCCAGAAATAGTGCTTCAGGTTAAGAACTTTGCTTCAGGATGAGAACAGAAATCGTGCTCCGGCGGCGCGGTGACAGGAGGAGGCCCCATTAGCTAAAGTGGTGCTTCAGGTTAAGAACAGTTTCAGGTTAAGAATGGACCTCTGGAACGAATTAAGTATTTAACCAGAGGTACCACTGTTCGAAAGCACCTTAAAGTGCAAGTAGATAAATAGGGACCGCTTACCAGCGGGAAGGTAAACGGCCGTTCTGTGTGCTGCGCTGGCTCGCCAGATGCAGCTTGTCACGCTGGCCACGTGACCCGGAAGTGTCTGCGGACAGCGCTGGCTCCCGGCCTATAGAGTGAGATGGGCGCACAACCCTAGAGTCTGTCAAGACTGGCCCGTACGGGCAGGGGTACCTTTACCTTTACCTTACCACTGTAATCTGGTGAACCGGGTTCGCGTTTCCGCTCCTCCACATGCAGCTGCTGGGTGACCTTGGGCCAGTCACACTTCTCTGAAGTCTCTCAGCCCCACTCACCTCACAGAGGTTTGTTGTGGGGGAGGAAGGGAAAGGAGAATGTTAGCCGCTTTGAGACTCCTTCGGATAGTGATAAAGCGGGATATCAAATCCAAACTCCTCCTCCTCATCGTCTTCTTCTGGACTCTCCTTCCTTGGGTGTTTTTAAGTAGAGGTTTGGATGGCCACCTGTCATGGATCCTTTAGCTGAGATTCCTGCATTGCAGGGGGTGGACTGGATGACCCTCGGGGTCCCTTTCAACTCTAAGATTACTGAGGGAGGTCCTGAACATAGCAGCAAATTCTTTAGAAACAGATTTGTGGCAGATATGTCCATCAATGGCTACCAGTCATGTTGGAGGCTATGGTCCGCTTCCGTGGTCAGAGGTAGTACAGTGGTACCTTGTGTTATAGAGGCTTCAGGTTACAGACTCCGCTAAGCCAGAAATAGTACCTTGGGTTAAGAACTTTGCTTCAGGATGAGAACAGAAATCGCATGATGGCACTGCGGCGGCAGCGGGAGGCCCCATAAGCTAAAGTAGTACCTCAAATTAAGAACAGTTTCAGGTTAAGAACGGACCTCCAGAACGAATTACGGTCTTAACCCGAGGTACCACTGTAATGCCTTTGAACAGCAGTTGCTGGGAACCACAGGAAGGGAGAGATGCTCTTATGCTCAAGTCCTGCTTGCCAGTTCCCCATGCGCATTTGGTTGGTTACCATGGAATAGGACGCTGGACTAGATGGGCCATTGGTCCTGATCCATCAGGGCTCTTCTTTATGTTCTTGAGAGCAGGTTGTGGATTCGGTATGAGATCTTGCGCAAATTTTGGGATCACCTTGGTGCCAGCTTTTAATGGAGTGCGTATGAATAGGTGAAATCTATGCTTAGAAAGCCTCTTGAGAGCCAGTGTGGGTGTAGTGGTAGTCTTGTAATCTGGTGAGCCGGGGTTTGCTTCCCTGCTCCTCCACATGCAGCTGCTGGGAGACCTTGGGCTAGTCACACTTCTCTGACGTCTCTCAGCCTCACGCATCTCACAGAGTGTTTGTTGTGGGGGAGGAAGGGAAAGGAGAATGTTTGCCGCTTTGAGACTCCTTTGGATAGTGATAAAGCGGGATATCAAATCCAAACTACTCTTCTTCTTCTGCTTCTTCTTCTCTGTTGGCGGTTTGTTACGGCCAGGTGGAACCTCCGCATGCAGAGGCAGTCTATCTGAGCGCCAGCGTCATAAGCGGAATCCTGCTGGAAAAGACCCTCCGAGGCCCGTGGATTCCAGCATTCGACTCATAGCTGTCAATCTTCCCTTTTTTGTGGGGAATTCCTTTATTTACTTCCCACTGCTATCCCGGATTGTTATATATCCTGTAGACTGTCCTTGGGACAGGTGAGGCTGGCTGATCCCTTATTTTCAAATCTGAAAAGTTGACAGCTATGCTGGCTGATCCCTTATTTTAGAGGCT